CACACACACACACACACACACACACGGAACTCTGGTGGCAACGTGCATGACGTGTTGTGTTGCCGACTGGAAGGTCACAGTCCAGGTCCACCGCTGCCCCACAGGAAGTGCTTCCTGCCCCCAGGGCCATGACAGTTTGGACTCGGTGTCTCATTCGTGCGTGTCTCTCTCGTCCCTGCAGATCCTCATCTACCACCCGGCCTTCATCAAGTACGTCTTTGACAGCTGGCTGCAGGGTCACGGGCGGTACCCTTCCACTGGCATCCTCTCGGTCATCTTCTCCCTGCACATCTGTGACGAGGTACACCTGCCACTGCCAGCTGCCTCCCCCCCCCCAGCCGCTGCCCCCTGCCGGGCTGCCTCCTCAAGGCCCAGGTCCTTGTCCCAAGGAGGGGGTTGGGTGCAGTGGTGGCCCATCCCTTCCTGGGCTCCAGTTCTGCAGTCCCAGAGTGTGCAGTGCCTCTTTTACGGTGTCATAGACTAAGAACACGCTCTATGCTGGTGTGTTTAGAACGGGAATGTTCCCGACTTCTGTGTCCACAGCCTGGGCTGCAGCAGGGCTGGTGGCTGGACTCGGACTTCTGACGGCATAAAGAGCAGGTTCTGAGAGGGAGAGCTGCGGTGGCCTCACGGCCGTGAATTCAAATCACCTGCAGTTATTGGCTGTGGGTGACACAACTCTGACCCATGCCCAGTCTGTGTCCAGCAGAGGGAAACCGCCTGCCGCTCCCGCCTTCTCCCGTTCTCCACTCTCCCCAAGCCCCTCGCTTGCTGTGCCCGCCCATCTCACTGAGCGTTTTCATCTCCTGACTCCCTGCTTCTCCAGGCATGATGCCCTTCTCCAGGCCTGGCCCTTCCTGATGGCCATATGTGTGAGGCAGACTGGCTGTCCCGCTTGGAAGGAACACCCTGTGTACACACTGAGTCAGGGGTCCATCCAGACCTTCTTCTGTTCTGGTGTCTGGGAGCCACTGGCCATCTGTGGTGTCCTGGGCTCATGGACACCCTGTGTCCATCTCTGTCCTCTCCACACTGTGCATGTGTGTGTCTCTTCTCTTGCTATGACTCACAGGAGTGGTCAGTTCTGGGGCCCACCTTGCTTTTTGTATGACCTCATTAGCGTGGCCCCATTTCCAGTCAGGGGCCTCTATCCAGGCCAAGGGCTAGGATTTAAGCGCATTGTGGGGACACCGTCCACTCCCTGACAGGTGTCCTCGGGATGTCCTTTGACCCCTTCTCAGGGGTCCTGCTCACAGCCCAGGGGCCCCTTCTCACCCCTGCTCTGCCCCCTCAGGTGGACTTGTATGGCTTTGGCGCCGACGGCAAAGGGAACTGGCATCACTACTGGGAGAACAACCCATCAGCCGGCGCGTTCCGGAAGACCGGGGTGCACGACGGGGACTTCGAGTCCAATGTGACGGCCACTTTGGCGTCCGTCGGCAAAATCCGCATCTTCAAGGGGAGATGACGCTGGGAAGGGTTGTGGCGTCGCACCTGCTCGGCCCTCTGCACTTCCACGCCGCACCTCACCGGAGCCACTGGTGCCAGCCATGTGGGTGTGCCCAGGGGCCCCTCACTGCCACCTGAACCCCAGCTTGGGGCAGCAGCCACTCACAGAGTCTGAGCTCTGCTGGGCTCGGAGCAGGTCTCGGGATCTGCCGTGGTGGGGTGGGCATGGCACTGCAGGTGTGTAGAGGGGGTGAGGGTCACCCTTCAAACACCAGGGTGAGTCCTGCTGGCTTCAGGGCCAGGGAAGCTGGAGATCCTGTTTGCGGTGCAGACACATCTTAGCGAGGTGGGCAGAGGCACCACCTGCTGACTTCAGTCCTTGCTGGAGTGTCCCAGGTCAGGATTGTCACCAGGACATGACCGCTGGCCCCAAGCACTGGGGCACACGAAGCCTTCATGTGGTGGCACTGCTGTCCCCTCGCTTGGCCGGGCGGGCACATCTTCCCTGTTGCCTCCAAGCCTGCTCATGGTGGCCAGGGAACCTCGCCACCCCTCCGTCTTCACAGCAACTTTGCAAAGACATTCTGGCTCCTGGAGGCAGCTTCTCAAAGAGGCGCTCCCTTGAGTCGTTGTCGTTATGACAACGGCGAGAGCAGATGGGAGCCCTTTCTCGTGCCTTCGAATCAGGGAAGGACATGCACGCGTGGCCTGAGGGGAGGCAAGCCCACCTCAGGAAGGACCTGCTACCACGGCCACCCGAGCTCTGGAGCAGGGACCGGCCCAGCACCCTCGCAGGGACTTCAGCCACGGAAAGCCCGCTCTTGTCTTGAACTTGACTCCCGGAACCTTCCCGGCCACGCAGGACCCTCCTGTGTCCAGCTTCTTCTTGTCCCAAGAGCTCAGGCTCTGGACAAGTCTGTGCTGGCCTGCTTCATGTCCTGGGGCTGGGGACAGGCCAATGGACAGTGACGGACAGAGCGGGACACATCATACCTCATCCTCTTTCTCCCCTGGGGCTGCTTCCTTCCTCTTCAGCCTTTCTGATTATTTATTGATTTTCTTTTTAATCCAGCTGACATTTTGTGCACTCTGGCGCTATGCTGGCCTTGTGTCTTCGTTGGGTTTGTAGTGCTTCACCAGGTGTCTGGGTGCTGGAAGCTTCAGGAAGGTTTGACTGGAGCCTAGAATTGGGGCATCAAGGTATTCGATTTGGGAGATGCTGAGGTATCAGGTTACTGGGTTCGTGGATGCTCAGTGCTGCCTTCCACCATAACCTCCTGGCATCTTGTGGATTTCAACTCTGTCTCAGGCTTGGAATGTCCAGAGGATCTGCAAAGCCCGGTTTGGGCTCGTGGGGCATGGGGGGCTAGGAGGTGCTGCTGCAGGTTCTGACATTTAATCCAAAAAACCACATTTCCCATGGAAAACCTCTTCCTAGGGGACACTGTGGTGTGAGGAGGTATGACAGTTTCCTGGCCACGTATGCAAAAGGCCTGTCTCAGGAAACCCACGCTCCAGAAAGTTCCACCCTTGCCAGCCTCTGTAGACAGGAGGAAATGGGGATTAGGGAAGCCCAGGCCTTTGACCAGGGACACAGGCAGCCTTAGGCCACTTACAAGGGTCTCTAGAAACACATGCCAGCTGTTCGGGTTTTCTCTGTGAGTCTGAGCGTAAGCACTTTCCAGAGTCCTGAGTGAAAGCCCATCATTTTGACTGAAGCAAAAAAGCACCAGTTGTCCCAAACCATCCAGGGAGGAGGAGGCCGAGAGGCAGGGAAGGAAGCTGTCCGAGGATCAAGCTTCTCAAACCATCGGCAGGGAGGTGGCCGAGAAGCAGGGAAGGGAGCTGTCTAGACACTTGGCCACTGTCGGCAGGGCCGAGCCAGGAGGTGCTCACGCGCCCACTATTGTCAGAGTTGAAGCAACAGCAGCTGTTCCCCCAGGCTTGCTGTGACGCTTGCTGCAGCCTTTCTCCGCAAGGTGGGCCAGAGAGAAAGGGAAATGGAAACAACTTCCTGACCATCGCAGGGTTGTTCTCACATCCTTCCTCCAAAAGTTTACACTCTGCCAGCCTGCAGGACATTCCCCGCGGGCCGTGGGGGACCAGCGCCCTACTCCTCTGAATTGCTCAGAATGGTGCCGAGTCTGCAGCATGCATGGCCAGAGACCTGCCTCTTGTTTATTAGGATGATGCCACCTCTCCTCGCCCTGGGATGCTTCTGATACCTCTGCATAGAGATATGGGGGCGGGGGGTAGTGGTGTCTTTGTGTTCCTGTGCAGAAACGCCACAGGAGGGTAGCTTTGTAGGAAAGGGACATCCCCCCCACCCTGTCCCATTCCTGGGAACTGGTGCAAACCAGGCGCTCAGCCCTGTGAACCCCTCATGTAGGTCTCCATCTCTGTGGCCATCCTCAGATCCCCTGGTGCCCGTGGATATCTGTCATCCCCCCGTGTGTGCTCCGAGCTCTTCTCGTCTTTCTGTAGCTCAGAAGTGACTCTCTGAAGGACCATTTATTAATATGACCTCATCAGCATAAGGCCATATCTCCAGGCCTGATCGTGCCCACAGGCACAGAGTTAGGATGCCAGCCTGTGCTCCAGGGCCGTGTTTCATCCAGACTGGAATCAGGAGGAGGAGTGGGAATGGAGAGGCAGGGAGCATTACAGGGGATCCTCGTTAGACATCAGCCACTTTGCTTTACTCACCTCTGAGCCTGCTCCCCAGCTCAGCTTCCCACCAGTGTCCAGCGTGCATGCCACAGCCAGGCCAGCCCTTGGCCCGTAGTCTCAGCACAGGATCGATCGGTCCCCACCTGCCAGCATCCTGAGCCTGCTTCCCAGCTCAGCTTCTCCTCCTGACCAGTGTCCGGCATGCATGCTGCAACCAGGCCAGCCTTCAGCCTGCAGTCTCAGCACAGGACCAATGGGTCCCCGCCTGACAGCATCTGAGCAGCCTCGGCTTTACCCCGGCCCACGCGCCCCGCCTGGATGAGCCGGGCTTCATCCTCCTGCACAATCACTGCACCCCGCGCCCCCCAGCAAGCTCCTCTCCAAGCCAAAGCCTCCCCACACTTTTCTTCGCAGGCGAGTCTGTTTGCTCGGCGGTCATTGGAACCTGCTTTCTCCCCCGCCCGCTCCAGCTCCTAAGTTTGCTTCTTTGCTGAGTGTTAATCTGATTGTGTTTTGAATGAAGTTAGCTGGTGTCTGCCTTCCGGCCCTGTCTGTTTTATTTATTACCAATGTTTCCAATGAGCAGAATCAACCTGAATAAAGAGAAGAGCTGTTTTACCCCTTTTCTGTGATGGTTTGATTTTAAGGGCCAGGTGTAAAGTGCCACCCTGCCTGTTTCCACGTGAAGAATGTTCTGGATCAGAAAACGGTGCAGTGTGTTATCTGCCACGGGCCCCCTGTTGTGATTGTCCAAGTGTCCAGAGGCTCAGGTGATGGATGTCGCCCTCCCTGCTGTGTGATGGGGCGAATCACCTAACCTCACTGCATGTTCGTTGCCTCGTGTGTGAAATGGTTGGCAGTATTGACCTCCAGTGGGGTATGCAATCAAACTATTTACACTGCTGATCTGAGCATGTCTGGGCAGAATCTTCTGAGTCAGGCGCCCCTGTGGGCAAGTTGGCATCACCCAGAACCCTCACTCCCTGCACACACGTTTATCCTAAGCCTGTGTCGGCCCCTCCATGGTGGCTTCACCGTCACTCCGCTCAGCACACTTGAATCTCTCAGCAGTTGGGTGTTGCGTGGACTCATCTGGTCCAACATCAGAGCACGGGTCTGGTTCGTGAGAGTTCTAATAACCCCAGAAACACAGTTTTGGGGACACTGCTGTAAACATAGCATAGCGTGTTCTGTGTTAGTCTGATAACCAAAGTCAGCAGTTCAAGTCCACCAGCTGCTCTGTGAAAGCGAGCTGGGTACTCTGGTCTGGAGACCCAAGGAGGGTGAGTGGGAGCTGACTGGACAGCAGTGGGTAGAGCGGAAGGTCATTGTCAGTCACGGTGGTGCCTGTCAGCGCGCACTGCTCGGCTGGCCAGCACTTCCATGACCACAGGCTCCGTGAATCCTCACAGCCCTGACCATGACTCTTAGATGCTGTCACATTGGTGCTGACTCCTGGTGACCCCAAGCAGTAATCTTTACAAGAGGAGAGAGCCTCCCGTCCCCTGCAACTGGTGGATCTGAGCCACTGACGTTTTGGTTAGCAAGCCAACACATTTCACATGAGGTCATCCAGACCCCGTCCATGGAGGCAGCAGCAATGGCCCCTGTGGGGCAGCTCAGCTCCGTCCTGCGGTTGCTGTGATCAGAGTCCCCTGGACTGCAGTGGTCTGCTTCCTGGTGGTGTCCACGTCTGTGTCCGCTCTGAGCTGTTTTCTGACTCTGAAACCGGTGCCTCCTCTTTTCCTTCCCTCCCACCAGAGCCCCGCTGCCCGGGGCAGGGGGTTGGGGGTGGGTAGCAGCCAGCAGGGTGAGTGCAGGCGCACATATGCTACTTACTGATCAACAGTGAACAGTCCCTCGTGTTCCCAGCACATCAGAGGTTCTGCCTCTATGTGTGGCTGGGGAGCACTCCCTCCTAACCCATGGTTCCTTTCCACTGCTTCAGAGTCTCCTCAGATGACTCTCCCCATGAGGAGAGTGTTCCCTGCAGGCTAGTAAGTAAGCCCCGAGAACGTGTGTGTGCCTTGCTTTCCGGGTGACCTTCCCAGATGCAGCCTCTTCCTCCAGTCCATCACACGCCAGCCATGGAGCCAGCCAGCCTGCTCACGCCCACCCCATGGGGCTCCAAGGAGAGCTGAGCTCCATGAGATCTCCAGTAGCTGGTTGTTTCAAAGCTGTTAGCCAGACCTTTCTCCTGAGGCACTGCTGGATGGGCTTGAACCCCCAACCTTTCAGTTAGCAGCTCATCATTGGCACATTCCAAAGACTCTTCATGTACCTGTTGTTAGATACCATTCAGTCAGAACCAATGCGTCGCTGACCCTCGAGTGGGTTTTTGGAGGCAGT